CCCCAAAACCCCAAAACCCCAAAACCCCAAAACCCCAGGAACAAGAGAGCAATTGAACTAGATTTTAGCAAAATTAGATAGCTTCTTTGATAGAAGCTTCAGCTTTAAGTCTACATTTGGCATCTTGTGAGTGGAGTTTAAAGGGTTCAGCGTCGCCATCTCATACAACTTCCCAGCATAGTCTGAGTCTTGCCCACTCAATGTTGTCCCTGGTACCAAAGCTTCATGGATAATCTGTGACTCAATCAGAGCAACGACATGTGGCTTTAGTGACTCCACCAGCTCAGTGTGGTACTCGTGGATTCCGACCATTTGCTCTGCATTGACATAACCTTTAAGCAGAGCAGTCTGCGCCAGCTTGAGGATTTCTTCGGTGACGAAGACATTGCAGACCTTGGTCATGACTTGCTGTGTGAACTTGTCTTTGGATAGAGTAGGCACTCTGGCAGCCAGAGACAGTCCAGACATGTAGACTGCATGGAGCTTGGCCAGGTTGGCAATCTCGACCTGGAAGACTGTGTTCCACTTGGTATCAAACGAGTGATGATCTTGCTTAGCAAGAGCTTCAGCAAGTTGGAGAAGTTCGTGACTGAGGGCAACTCTGAGAACTTCGAGGAGTTTGTGAGTGTCTCTAATGTCTGAGTCAGACTCAGTGGAGTCTTTGACAGAAAATACTTGCTCCATGTAAGGGTAAAAATCTCTGATAAGTTATGAAAGAATCTTACTTGTTGACAGATTTTCCTTTAGTGATATCTTTGATTTTCTTTACTAGTTTCTTGGCTGTTTGTTGGTAGAGAACATATCCATCACCTTCAAGAGTGACGTTTGGAGACCAGCCCTCAATATGAAGAGAGATATTACCCAACAATAAATATCCATGGCCTCCTTGAAGTTCCCTCAAAGAATGCAGTGCCATCATATCGTAGTCCATCCAATATGCCTTGAGAGCACTTATCAAGACATGGAGATCGTTCATCATTTTGAAGTCTTCATTCTTTATTTTTTCCATCATCTTATAAAACATATCCATACAGTACTGAGAGATCGTCAAGTTGGCGTATGCATATCATGTCACTGATACAAGTTGCTTCTGAGTAGCTTGGTAATCGAAAATAGGCCTCTCGATATCTGATCCGGGAACAGACTTGAATTGTGTTCTTTTCAGAGCATATCTAGCACAATGTGCTAATGACACAAACTTTACGAGCCATCCGAAACTCAAAAGTTGTACTCTAATCCAGAGCATTGTAGCGTATCCAATCCTTGGATCTCCTTTCAGCTCTATCATTCCTTCTTTGGTCACACTAACATATCGTGAAAGAATTGCAGATCTTGGAACTCGGATATTGTTGAAAGCCATGTATCCATTGTCTTTACAAGCATAACCATATTTTGGCCCAATGTCTCCAATCTCAACTCCTTTTAATGGAGAATGAGTTTCTGAGTCCCTAATTCTAATCAGAAATCCATGAATCCCATAAGCTTCACCTTTAATGATCAGCTTTGCAAACACTACTGCATGATTGGCCATTTTACCGAGATCTCCTGGCCAGAATTTGTATGCCTTGACGGATGGAGAATTGATTATAAACTCCTCAGTGGCTTCATCGTAGATAGCTTCGGTCTGGAGTCCTTGAACATCAGACCCATGACCAACCTCAGTCTGAGCATAGCAACCAATATTCTTATAAGCTACTATATCATCCCAGACTTCTTTGACTTGCTCATCTGAACCCAACACTTTGATGATAGTCTCATACATCCCATGATGGACACTGATAGGAAACAAAGCATTCATAGCAAATGCGAAGGTTCCATAATTCTCACTGTCAGCATGAGGTAGCTTGCCTTCAAAAGAGAGCTCTTTAGTCCTAGCTCCTCTCATAATATTGTCTCTGAACATGTCTTCTCTAGATAGGTTATAAATCATGGGTCTGAACTTAGCCACTGAGTCCTTAGCTATCTCTTCAAAGATCTTAATATCCCTTTCATAAGTGTCCTTCCATGCGCTATCTCTCAGTCCTTGGACGTCTAAACTAGACTCTAAGACCAGTTTGTCTAGTTCATCTTTAAAACTATTCATCATAATTTAGCTTACGTAATTTCTTTCAAAACCTTGAAATAATCTTGGGGTTTTGGGGTTTTGGGGTTTTGGGG